TCCAAAGCTGTGTAGCAACAATGACATCCTAAAAAGGACTAAAATTTCAGCACTAGATATCAATTTTCAAGACCAGCAATGGCTACTGTAGACAATGTTAACTCTAGACATTAAAGAAAATTTTGCTTCCCTCTCCTGAATTACCCACTTTACTAATTCAGTGTATGGTGATATTTTTAAGGGCCAGTATTTCAAAACCATTCTCTTTCACTATCTACAATATAAAATTGTAGTCTCTTTTAAAGGTTTCCTCTTAGCAATTTATTCCTTCGTAAGTTACATGGAAATGATACGAGGTGCTAAGATCATGGCATTAATGCAATGGGAAAATGCTTCCTAAAGCACGTTTTATATAACTGCAAATAAAAATGCTGAAAAACACCTGCTGAATCTTGCATTTTAACCTCCCCCATTTAGCTCAGGAGTCCTCATTATGAGCCTGTGTTTCCAACTGGACCAGAGGCTGCCTATCCAGTGGGTTTCACTACCATTCCTGCCAGAGAAATGGCCTCCTGTGCTGGGCCTTGCACATGACATAACCTTGGAACGAAGGAGATAGGCAGGAGGGAAAACAATCAGATGACTGGCTTCAAGTTCAGGTCCTTTATAGACAGCCTGAAACTGTGGTCAGCTTTCCATTGAAAACAACACACAACGTTTACTTTCTTTCCTAACTTTCAGGCTGCCAGAATACACATGTACTTTTACTTTCTTAGGAGAAAATGTGTCATTTGATTTCCTTCCAGTCTATGTACTCGTGCCAAAAACTAAAATGCTTAAAGAACCAAAATGAATTACTACCCAGAAATGGTGGTCAAAGTTCCAAAATTTGATCAATAAAATTGCTCATCTACTCACAAATTAAACTTCAGCCGGTAAAGTTACACATTTTTGAGGTTATGGACGCACCTGTGACGTTAAGCATGTATTTCACTTGTTTCAGCAATCTTCAGAAGTATATAAATATTTATAAAAGACAGCCTACTATTTTTACCTACCTATAATTTTTTTTTCTAAGCATAGTCTTGTTCTTGTTAATTCTTTCACAATTCCTAAGCATCCTGAAGACAAGGTCTGTGTCCTCAACAGCCCTGGGTTCCCTACGAGCACCAGTTCAATAGGAGCATGAGGTGGCTATTCTGAAATGTTCACCAAACTGCACTGAATTAATTCAGATCATCCTGTTGCTAAATTTAGGAGGGGCTGATTTTTAGTTTGCATTTGTATCATTCATAAAAAAATTTTCGAAGCACGTCAGTAGACTAAGTCAAAAGGCAATTTAGGTAGCAGACTGAATAATTCTTGAGGGGTCCAGAAGCAATATCTACATGTAATTCATGCCACCTTCAGGAATAAAGCACTGCGCCACCAAGAATGTCAGCAGCTCAGATTTGGTTCACTATGTGAATCCAAAAAGAGCGCCGTTCTCTCTTATTTACCCTCCTCGCGCTGAAATTAGTCCGAATTGGTAATGTTCGACTGGAGTGTGATCTCTATGCAGTAACCACGTATAGCCTCCTCTAACTTCCCATTTTTCTTTTGTTTGTATCATCAGCCTGCGAATCTGGAGAGCACTGCCAAACATGAAGCAGGGAAGTGTGAGATATGCTTAAAATATGAGCCACAGTGTATTTGGGGATTTAGGTTTCTTTTTTTTTTTTTTTCCTCAAGCTATCAGCAGATCAAATCCTTCTTCCTTGTCAAGCTATCCTCTATGCAGAAGAAAGATCTGAAATTTGCTAAAATAGGTCTCTGAGTGTAGTGATGAAGGGTAAGAAGATCAGAGATGAACACTTTTCAGATTGGCTGCAGGATCTCCCTTTCATTTCAGAGCCACTCCGGCTGAGATGTCCCAGCAAGGACATGACATGGCAAGATATATTTAAATGTGAAGGTTGTTCCTTTCGTGAGTCATCCAGTGTATATACATATTTTTATAACAGGTAATACACCGCATGTTAGTAATTTCTCCTTTCTGTTTGTGGAAGGCCAAAATAATAAAGCTTACTGAATTTGCATGACCCTACATTCTGTAATAGGCTCTCTCTCTCCCTCTCCCTCTCTCTCTCGCTCCTCTTCCCTCTTCCTCTCTCTCTCTCTCTCTCTCTCTCTCTCTCTCTCTCTCTCACACACACACACACACACACACGTCAACCAACTTATCCTCCCACCCCCTGTGAATTCTTAAAGTTGGTCTACATTCTCTTCACCAGTTAGAAGTTAGGAAGACTCAAGACATCTTTTGCAAAACCAACCGTCAAGTGTACCCCTTTCTTCCTCCTCTTTTCATACAGACTGAAGTGCTTAGCAGAATGTCTGAGGTTGGCTCTGACACTGTCCTTGCCAAGAAACACGAGTCTCTCTGTATCAGACTTTCTGCTTGGTGGCTAAACTCCTCTAACAGGCAAGAAGAAACAGAGCCCTCAAAAGGAAATCCCCTAAAACTTTACTTTGTATATTTAGCCCTAAAGCAACTTCATTCCTCTTGGAAAAGAAGTTACCTAAAAAATGCCATATGTTTTAAAAAAGCAAGGATGAGGGAAAAATAAGTCTAGTATAAAAAAATCACAAATGATATTCAATACTGAAGAGCAGTGTGATCAGACAGATTGTGTATGTGTGTATTTTTTTCTTAAATTTCTAACCAAAGATCCACTGTGTATAAGTTTTTCTACTCAATAATATATTGTCATTTTTCCAATGCACTTGAGGTCTGATAAATTCAACAGGACTCATCGTATTTTTAAAGCTACGAGAGCTCCAAGAGGGAGGCAAAAAGAATGGACAGTCATTTGAATCACTGAGTGACAAGCTGGGCTGGCTCCCTGTATACATTAATAAATTAGAATTTTAATTGCGTCTCTGTCTGCAGGAGATGCCCCAGTACTTTAATATGTACCAACAATTGGCTATGTTATGGAATCCGCAATGTGGCCTCCGTTGCTGACCCCTGAAACACAATTCCCAGTCTGACTACGGAAACTGTTCAGTTTGATCCTTTCAACTTATTTGAATCCTGACAAATAAGCTCACAGCTGAAAGGTCAACACAGTCATATTTCATCCTCCAGAGCTGTTCTTAAGACATCTGCACAACAAAGCCCTTCTTAAAGCACCTGACATGGGCTCCTCCATGGAACTCTACCTCATTAAAAATGTCTCCTACACTCACACATGCAGGTTGCCCAGGGTTTCCCAAACAACTGGTTTTGGAAGTGATCATAAACAATGCACACTGTTGTTCAACTTCTCCAACGAAGTGTCACGACAGTGCTGAACTTTCTCTGCAGGTGGCCAGTTTCCCCTGACGATGCAGAAGAACTACAACTTGCTGCCCAAGGTCAGTTTGATCTTTGCAGGAGAATCTGGAAATTGGTATGAGCTCATTCCAACCTATAAAAAGTTAACACAAGCTAGACTATAGTTGACCTCAAGATCAAATTAGTTGGTACCAAGTTCTATCCATTTGCTACTGGTCACAGATTCTGTTCCAAAATTTCCAGGGTGAGGAACCCAATGTCACCCTCCCATTCTGGGGATGCCCACTCTCAGCTATGAAAGTATTTTGAACCACCTAGTACCTACAACAAGTGCCCTGTCTCTTGAATGTGAGTATAAACATTCTGAGTCAAGTTTTGTCAAAAATTTGACTGCAATTTCTACTCAGTCAAAAATCCAAATTAGATTTTTATGAACTCGTCAGTCTTAAAGTCCTGGAAATAAGAAGTTGTAAACATAATCTAATTTTTATTATTTTTACCTAAAAATTGTTCCCCATTTTTAATGAATGATTCAGAAACCTTCTGCATACCGAAGGAGGGGGTATATGATATGACACTCATTACTAGGTATCGTATTAAAAGTATCATATCCTCCTTGGGCCTAAGGACACTATGGATATTTTGGGCTGCTAAATAATGCTGTGTTCCGGGAGGCTGTCCTGTGCCTTGCAGGATGTTCAGCAGTATTCCTGGTCTAGTACCTATGAGATGTCACTAGCATCTCTACCCTGTCCCCTATTTCTGATTGTTAAAAAATGTATCCAGAAAGAAGAACTTGTATATGCTGTTGGCAGAAATGTAAATTAGCACAGCCACTATGGAGAACAATAAGAAGGTTCCTGAAAAACCTGAAACAGAACCACCATATGATCCTGCTAGACCACTTCTGGGTGTATATCCAAAGAAAATGAAATCTGCATATCAAAGAGATACCTTTGAACCCACATTTACCAGAGTAAGATACGGGATCAACTTGGCTGTCCATCAAAGGATGAGTGGATTTAAAAAATGTGGTATGTATACATGATGGAGTATTATTCAGCTATCAAGAATGAAATCCTGACATTTTCAGCAAAAATGGTTGGAACTGAAGAACATTATGTTAAGTGAAATAAACCAGACATGGAAAGACAAGTACCTCATGTTCTCTCTCATTTGTGAAAACAAAAAGAGCTGACTTGAAAGTGGAACAGTGATTACTAGGGAGACTGGAAGGGAAGAGCAGGGAGAGTGGAAGAGGGTGGTTGTGTGCATGAATGAAAATATAAGACTGAACCCCATTATTACACACAATTAATATGTGCTACTAAAAAGAGTCTCCTGACATTGCCTATTGGTTCCATGGTGGTCTAAATTGTCTCCCCTTAAGGTATGTGTGCACCCCATTCTTAACTCTATCATGAGAGAAGGCATGACATGTCTGAGTACTACACACATCTTTTCGTTGGTAACCTACACTGTGTGTTAAGCAATCCAGCACTTACAACACCTCCTCCCCCAATTCTGCTGCATAATTAGTACATATTCTCACTGCCGACAACAAAACTTTTGGTCAAATAGACATTTTCCCCAAAATGTCACACTCTACAGGTAAACTAAAAATGCACATTTTGCAGGAGATTTTCCTACACGATTGGCAATTCTCAAAGCAATCCACTTCTGAACTGCTTATCTGCTGATGTAAAGGGTATCATGCCAATTCAAAGAATAGAACTGTTACCTGAAGAGCTGGCTGTTTGTCATTCCTCTTGGGAGATTTTAATCCACTAACTTGCTGTTGCTGTTGCTGTTGCTGCTGCTGCTGCTGCTGCTGCAGAAGGAGCTGCCTTGCCACCTGCAGGGCCTGGGAGGAAAAATGGAAGGGAACAGTTGTGTTACCACACAGGTTTGGGACAGCCTCACAAAAAGGATTCCAGGAAGTACACTTTGGGACTGGCTCTGACTGTCCCATTTCCAGGCAAAGGAAATAGCAAACGAAACTTCCCACAACTCTAAGTTGGAAAACTTTCCAGAATTTGTTTATATTTCCTTTGACTTGGCCAGTTGCATCCACAAATCCTTATGCACGGTAAGTCATGTAAGCAGACACTTCATTCCTATTAGAAATCTGCCATAAAGCACAGAAATATGAATGGCTAGCACTTTGAGGAAGGATGGCAAAGAAAGGTCAAGAGGGACTTGGGCAAAGTCAGAGACTCAGGAGACAATGAAAGCCCTTATGAATGGTACCTTTTTCCTCCCCCAATTCTTTGTGTGTGTGTGTGTGTTTTTTTTCCTAGTACTGGGATTTGAACTCAGGCCTTGCACTTATTAGGCAGGTGCTCTACCACTTAAGTCACACCCCCAGTGCTACTTGCTTTCCTTATTTTTCAAACAGCATCTGTTTATGTCTGCACCAACCTGGACTGCAATCATCTTATTTACTCTTTGATATAGCTGGGATGACAGGCTCGTACCACCACATCCAGTTTTTATCGATTGAGATGGGGGCTCGCGAACTTTTTGGCGTAGGCTGGCCCCTAACTGCAATCCTCCCAATCTCTGCCTCCAGAGAAGTTAGGATTATAGGTGTGCACCACTGTGCCTGGCATCCCTCAATTCTTCTTGGGGGGAACCTGGGGACTCAGGTTGAAAGTAGTATTTTCTTCTTATGTGAATTCACACGAAGAAGAAGAGCCAAGTGGTGGACGACAGGGAAAGCAAGCCACTATGGATACAGTTATCTGAGAGGGAGAATAGAGCAGATGGGGGCACACCTGGAGTGATCTCCCTGGAAGACATAAAAGAAAAGCTTAGTGAATCTGACCACTGGTCATGTTAGAGACATTGTTATGACCTTCAAACAAAACTGCTTTAGTGCAAGCAACCCTTCCAAGTTTATAAACTGGGGTGGTTTTATTTAAAGATAGAAGTTAGGGAGGGGGTATGAACTGGGGACAAGGCAACAGAAGAATAGGAGAGCCCTCCAAACTGTTGAACATGATGACCGTTTTTTAAGAATTCAAGTACAAAAAGTTATCACGAGGATAGTCACTGTCAAAAAAATAAGGACAGACGTAATGGCAGACCTCAACAATAGAAAACTAAGGAGCTTGCTAGAAAGTCATATGGAAAGTTAGGTTTCTTAGATCAAGTCAGCTGAGAACCAAGAAAGTACACAGGGAAGAGATGCTAAGAATGCTCCCGAGTTGAGGTGCTCAGAGTTTATAAAGTGAGAGTTCTTAGACAGCCCATGAAAAATACTTTCTATATGGCAATTGATTATGTGTGTCTCAAAGAAGAAGGGCACCCAGCTGTGGTAAATGCCTCAAAAGAGAATGCTACCACAGGCTTTGAAAGTGGGCACAAGGGACTTTGTGATGGTGGCCTGTCAAAGAATAAACAACTTCCTTCACATAAAGAAAACCACAGGCACAGTTACAAGAAGTTACAGCAACAATGGTGGGATGAGGGAAGGGTCTGATGACCAGGGCATTCTTGTGCATTGAACTTGGCATAAAGGGACCACAGAGGGATTAGGGGATTCGTGCTCATGAGCAGAAATGCTACTTGTGCAAGGAGAATTCTTCTAAAGAGACAGGCTTACTTAACCAGACTACTAACTGCACTAATGTAATGATGATGTTTTGTTTTGGGCAGTACTGGGGTTTGAACTCAGGACCTCATGCTTGCTAGACAGGTGCTCTACCACTTGAACCACACTATCAGCCCTTTTTTTTGCTTTTAGTTATTCTTCATGTAGAGTCTTGTGTTTTTGCCCAGGCAGCCTGAACCATGACCCTCCTATTTACACCTCCCAAGTAACTAGGGTCATAGGTGGGCCCCACCATGGCTGGCTTATCAATTGAGATGGGATCTCACTTTTTGCCAGGGCTAGCCTCAAACTGCTTCTTCTTGATCTCCACTTCCTAAGGAGCTAGGATTATAGGCATGAGCCACTGTGCCCAGCCAAACAGTAAATATTTTTAAGAAAATCCAAAAGGTGCCTCCACGTCTAAGAAGTACGAAGAAGGGCAAAGAAATGGAAGAACAGAAGAAGCAGTGACAAAAGAATGACCCCTCTGAAAGTGGATCTTGCTTTCCCCACCTCCCTATGTCATCTGCCCCTCTGGTCCCATGGAGACCTCCTGCTACTGGACCCACCCCCAGCAGCCCTTCTGATGCAGTGCAGTGCAAGGCTAGCACGTCTGGGAAGGGAGAGACACTTCACAAAGCCTGCCTGGAAGGGAGGCTGTCTGAGAGGGGCAGCTGGAAGGCAAGATGCTTGGGAGAGCTGCCTGAGACTCCAGCCTGCTGTCTTGGTGAAGGATTCACCATAGCTGGACTCCGGCTTTCCTTGTCTCCTTGGAGACGCTCAGTACATGCGTAGGTGGAAAAGTGGGCAGAGGAAGATTTCATTTATATCATATAAGAAAAATGGTCCCCCGTGCACTGTGCCCACAGGAGCAAACGCCTCTGCTACTATGCATGTTCCCCTAGCTATTTCACATGAAGCACATCAGCTTTTTAATGAAGAAAAGGGAATTGTTCTATGTTGTAAGCACTACTGTCAGAGTGCTTGGGGAAAGAGGCTGATCAGCAAAGGAGGCTCCAGCTGAGAGCTGGAAAGGCAGACAGTGGAACTGTCACTGACAGCAAGAAGAAAGTGCAGAGAAAAACACGGTGGGCAAGACAAGGTTAGACACTTTTAATACCAAAACAGGGCAAGCAAAGAAAAACCAAGGAATGACAAGTCTACACGATGTCCCTGGTTTCACCAAATACTGGGAGAACAGATAGTTTGTTTTTAACCATCCAGGTCTTTTCTGCAAAAGGGAAGGTATTAATTAGAGTCTTTTTTTTTTTTTTTAATGCAGTCCTGGGCTTGAACTCAGGGTCTTCTCCTTGAGCCATTCCACCAGCCCTATCTTTGTGAAGGGTTTTTTTGAGATAGGGTCTCTTGAGCTGTTTGCCCAGGCTGGGTTTGAACCTCGATCCTCCTGATCTATGCCTCCTGAGTAGCTAGGCTTACAGGCGGGAGCCACCGGCGCCTGGCAGTATTAGGGTCTTTAAGAACAGCATTCGCACTCACAACTACTCCCTGTGAGCATGCTCTCATGTGTGTATGTCAGCAGACCTCAGAGAACCAAGACCCACGCTTTCGTTTCAGTCAGTGGTTACTGAGCTGGCTTCTATACCATGCATTTCAAAGTCAGTTGCTAGAACTCTCAGATTTCTTTTGCTGGTTTGAAGGGGAAAAGAAAGTCATGAGTTTGGTGTCTTTTTCAGACCCAACATGGGGTCCATAAATTAAACACTCCATATCAAAAGCCCAGTTCGTTCATATCACTTCATGCAGAGCCCCAATACCAAAGAGAATCAAAGCTAGAGACACAGGAGGAAAGGGTAGCACCTAATATGAATGGTACAGGGAACTGTCAATCAACTGACTGTGACAACATCACACATGATGGACACTCTCAAACTGGCTCCTCAGGTTCAATCCCCAAATGAGTACAACTAGGTAAAAGAACTTCAAATATTTGGTATGGAGAGACAATACTAGAGCAAAAATTAAATCATTTGGTCATGAAGCTGCTAGAAATCATCACGAAATAATTCCCACTCATTCTCATGAGTATATTAGCAAAGGATCATCCCCAAAATAACTTAAAAGTCACCGTGGGGAAGAATCACAATGAAATCCCTTTACACTACTAATGTAAACTCATTCAAAAATAAAATTTACAAATTTACAAATCACTCTGGGGGCTCAAAAGAAGTTTTAAAACCTAATTGACTAGAACATACAACATGCTTTGAAATCAGGCTCTAATGGGTGTTTTCTTTTCTCATTTTCCGTAATACATAAATTGCTGTCATCTAGATTTTAAATTGTCACACACAAAAAGGGGCAAAGGATCCCTGGTTTTGAAGATTGTGAATCTGGCCACAATATGCATATCTCTGGTATCTACATTTGCAGAAAGCTAAAAATGCTTATTGTCACGTTCCTTGATAGTCAGTAGAAATTCTAGAATGACCAATGATATCCCTTTTGGAAAATGCACGTGCTCACTGTGCTTCCCAAATTTAATTAGTTGTTTGTTGTTTTCACCTGTTATGTTGTGTATATATGAGACAGGAACAGAGATGGGAGGAGGAGGAAAGAGAAGAGGAGGAGGAAGATGACAGAGAGAGGACAGAAAGGGTAGGAGAGACAGGGAGGGAGAGTGAGTGTGCACGAAGATAGGAGTACACGAAAGAATTTCTCTTTTAAGCAGCAAAGATCACCCCTGGCTCATGTCATAGACCAACTGCTAATGTAAATAACTTAAAAGGTCCAATCCCATCCCTGGAGACCTTTTCTTCTTGGTGGCTCTCCCTGGGCCGGGTTGAATCAATACTTTTATAAAAGATGTTACAATTTCGTGGCACTGGATAACCTGGTGCTGTATTTGAGCGCTGGACTCAGGTTACAGCAAAGACTCAGGTTCAAGGATGCCATAGAGCCAAGGCAAGTGATAAAAACAGGCACTTAGAGCCCAGGTACACTCACATTTATTTTTGTTTAACAAGCTAACCTAAATGACTCTGTGAACTAACAGAGGGGAGATGGCAGGCACGGGACACTTTGTCTGTGGATCACCTAGGCTCTGTCTCTGCCTTGATGCTCACCTTTGCCTCCATCAGCACAAGGACTTGGAGATGCCTGATGGTCAGTCTTCCATGGTCCATGGGCAGCTCTGAGTAGCCAGAGGGAGACTGTGAGTTCAAGGATCGCTTGCTCCTTTGGCAGGCCATGTTTGCAGGCTAACTGCGGACCTGGGTCTTTGTGATCCCCTCCCCTGCCCACTTCCATTC